CCAGCCCATAGGATGCACCTAGTTTTTTTGGGGGGAAATAAAGGCACGCTCCGCCTCCCCGCTGTCCCCGAGCTTGTGGGGCTGGCGATGGGGAGAAGTCTGCTGAGCCTGGGACTGCAGGCAGCTCTGCGCAGCCATCAGGAGCCGGGCGAGACTTCGTGCCCCGCTCCCGATGGCCGCGCAGAGCTGCGCTGAGCCCGGGACTGCAGGCAGCTCTGCGCAACCCTCGGAGCTGGTCTCCCGAGGGTTGCGCAGAGCTTCCTGAAGCCTGGAGAGTGAGAGGGGTCGGTGCGCACCAACCCCTCTTGCTCTCCAGGCTTCAGCGAAAGCCTGCATTCGCCCCATAGGACGCACACACATTTCCCCTTCATTTTTGGAGGGGAAAAAGTGTGTCCTATAGGGCGAAAAATACGGTAATTACTTCTGTTGCTCATAGCTCAAATCCCGCTTGCGAGTTCATCATACTGTAATACAGTGATACCTTGGGTTACAAACACTTTGGGTTACAAACTCCGCTAACCCGGAAGTAGTACCTCAGGTTAAGAACTTTACCTCAGGATGAGAACAGAAATCACATTGCAGCGGCACAGCAGCAGCAGGAGGCCCCTTTAGCTAAAGTGGTGCCTCAGGTTAAGAACAGTTTCAGGTTAAGAACAGACCTCCAGAACAAATTAAGTTCTTAACCCGAGGTACCACTGTATTTCTTATAACTCATATTTTTCTGCTGTTAATTTTGCCAGTTCTGCATAGTCCATTATCTTACTTACCCATTCTTTTGTTGGAACTACTACTTCCTTCCATTTCTGCGCATACAGAATCCTAGCTGCTGTACATAAACCAACTTCAACATGTTTGGTGGGATTTTTGCCAGAGAATTTTCTGACTTGAGTGATTGTTTAAAGCAACTGGACTGCACAAAAGGAGAACACTATACGATTCCGCATTTCCGGGTCTGGAAAACCCATTTTACAACATCCATTATTTTAGCATGTTTGGGGGAGTGCCGGAGGGAAAGCAAGATCAACAAAGCTTTGCCATCTCACTATCCCTTACTGAAATTCTCACAGGATGCCAAATTACTCCAAAGTTAAATTTCATTGAGCATGCAAACAGGGCAAAGGTGCAATACTAAAACATTTGCATTTGAAAAAAGCACTCTTTGCTCCTTGTGCACTAGCAAGTTGAACACATCCTGTTTATCTTGGTCGTCATCCAGAGAAAAGCCGAATACATCTGAGCCTGTCTTAGTGCAAGTGTACATTGGCAACATAACCCCCTTCTAAAAGGTCTCGTGATGAATCCCTAGGCTGCTTTAACTTAGAGTTTAAAGAGCCGAGCTTCTGTGGAGCCAACTTCTGAAAAGAAAACTCTGAGAAACATGTGCTCACTTCTGAATCACAATTCTCACATGGACTGGGGGGGGGATAAAGAGCTGGGGTGTTGCCAAGATTTAATAATAGCAACAAATTCTGGATATGGCCTTGGATAGAATTTTTCTATGTTGAAAATCCAACTGTTTTGAAGAAGGCGGGGGCAGATTGCATTCAAAAGATGTGTTAGATATTCTGTGCATTCAAATATCATATATGAGACACCCCTCTCCTAAACTGCACAAAGCATAACCATGTAGTTTTGATAAACAGTTCTTATAATTCCCATGACAGTAAATAACAAATAACATAAACAGTGCATATGAAGAAGAAGAAGAGGAGGAGGAGGAGTTTGGACTTGATATCCCGCTTTAGCACTACCCAAAGGAGTCTCAAAGCGGCTAACATTCTCTTTTCCCTTCCTCCCCCACAACAAACACTCTGTGAGGCGAGTGGGGCTGAGAGACTTCAAAAAAGTGTGACTAGCCCAAGGTCACCCAGCAGCTGCATGTGGAGGAGCAGAGACGCGAACCCAGTTCACCAGATTACGAGACTACCGTTCTTAACCACTACACCACACTGGCTCTCATGTGATCATGACATGTCTTGAAAGTGGCAATTCTAAACAAGCTTAAAATGGTGAGGATTACAGACCAAGAACAGCCCACCACCCGCAGATACAGAGGTACGGTTTGCACGTGACAGAAAACCAAGTTGAAAGACTATGGTTTAATGTCAATGAGTGGGGTCGTGGTGCATGCTGCTCAAAATGTCCCCACTCCTCTCTTTCCCTTGGAAACCACCAAGAAACAAACCAGAGTCACATTCGAACTCAGGTCTAAGCTTTGTATCTCTCCAAGCCAAGCACAAGCAGTTGCCATATTTTTCCGTGTATTAGACGAGGTTTTTTTTACTCAAAAATCATGTCAAAAAACTGGGGTTGTCCTATACACGGATAGTGGCGTGGGGAGGAAGCTGCGTGCCACCAGCCAGTTGATTGGCAGCCTGCACTCTAGGGAGCTTCCTGCCCACAGTGGCGAGGGGGGAGCGGCTGCTCACTTTGCCAATACCCAGCAATGGCCCTGCTGGGGTGATGGCACATGTGCAATTCCCCCTTTAAAAAGCTTAACAACTTTGGGCCATCTCCCCTCATTTTCTTTAAATTTAGTTCCCCAAAATAGGCGGTGTCTTATACATGGGGGCGTCTTATACACGGAAAAATACGGTGCTAACTTACTTGTTTGTTTGGAGGAAACAAACTACAAGTATGGGGTGAAACATCATGGCAAGCCATACTTGGGCTTGTTTCCTGGTCGTGCAGCAGGTGAGGTGGCGACTGAAGACTTTTCAGCAGCGTGCAACAGCAAGCTGCATGTTCACATAAAACCACCGTTTGTTTTTAACTATAAGTTTATGTGATGTGAGAACCAGGCCAGAGGGTGCTACACAAATGGGATCCAATGGCAACAACAGCAAGTGAACAAGGCAAACTGGATGTAAACAGTCAGACAATACAATAGACCATGTCTATAAATTTGAGAGATAACGTTCAGCAACACAGACTGATCAGCCACATATGCAATGCCTACTTTTATTTCATTCATAAAAGTTTGAATCCCAAGAAACAACAGAAGTACTATACAGTCATACCTCATGTTATGTTTGCTTCATGTTACGTTCTTTCAGGTTACGTCCTGCGGCGACCCGGAAGTACTGGAAAATGTTACTTCCGTGTTTCGCCGCTTGCGCAGAAGCACCAAATCACGCTTCACGCATGCGCACAAGCGCCGAATCGTGCCGTGCACCTGTGCAGATACGGCGCTTCAGGTTGCGGGCTTTTCATGTTGCAAACGGGCCTCCGGAACGGCTCCCATTTGCAACGAGAGGTACTACTGTATATATCAAAAATATTTTGTAGCAAGCCTAATTATTTTAATTTTGTCTGTATTATTTCGACATCACCTCCAGCCACCTTAATGACAAGTGGTTTGCATCATTATGCATCTTATAGATCCCACCGAAATGAAATCAACAACACAGCCCTGTCTAGTTGAAGAGTAAGTTAGCTGTCAATAGTCTAATTACACAACCATTGAAATTAGGGCGAAAGAACTCTCAATAACTCAGGCTTCCAACACAACATGAGGCCTAATTCACAACGTTAATCGAGTTGCACTGAAGAATGTCCATGTGCTATATTTTTCATGGCTGGCTTTCTGTTTACATTAAGCTTCTGGTCCTTATGGATTAATAGGAAAGATGAAGGTTGGCATACTGATGCTGTGGTTCTAGAAACACAACTAAAACTGGAAACCGAGGATGTGAAATATAACAACAAACGAGTGGTCGCCGCTTGACTACCTTCATGTTTAAATTAGGCCTAGCCTAGGATTCTTTCTAGAGTTCACATTTTCACTGCCAAGTAAGATCCATGACCATGTTACTTCAAAACTGGGCCTTGCAATTTTAACATGCTAAGTGTGGAGCCAGTGTGGTGTAGTGGTTAAGAGCGGTAGTCTCCTAATCTGGTGAACTGGGTTCGATTCCCCGCTCCTCCACCTGCAGCTGCTGGGTGACCTTGGGCCAGTCACACTTCTTTGAAGTCTCTCAGCCCCACTCACCTCACAGAGTGTTTGTTGTGGGGGAGGAAGGGAAAGGAGAATGTTAGCCGCTTTGAGACTCCTGAAGGGGAGTGAAAGGCGGGATATCAAATCCAAACTCTTCTTCTTCTTCTTCTAAGCAATTCTTTGGAAAGCACACATTTAAGAAGTTCAAAGTTTAAGACTAGAGGCAAGTAAGGGAAAGGGAAAGGTACCCCTGCCCATACGGGCCAGTCTTGCCAGACTCTAGGGTTGTGCGCTCATCTCACTCTATAGGCCGGGAGCCAGCGCTGTCCGCAGACACTTCCGGGTCACGTGGCCAGCATGACAAGCTGCATCTGGCGAGCCAGCGCAGCACACGGAACGCCGTTTACCTTCCCGCTGGTAAGCGGTCCCTATTTATCTACTTGCACCCGGAGGTGCTTTCGAACTGCTAGGTTGGCAGGCGCTGGGACCGAACGACGGGAGCGCACCCCGCCGCGGGGATTCGAACCGCTGACCATGCGATCGGCAAGTCCTAGGCGCTGAGGTTTTACCCACAGCGCCACCCGCGTCCCAGAGGCAAGTAGATGTAAGGAAATATAGCTGGTCAAGATACAGAACACAGTTCATGTTGAAAATCCAACTGTTTTGAAGAAGGGGGGGCAGATTTCATTCAAAAGGTGTGTTAAGAGATTCTGTGCATTCAAAATTCTGCGCATTCAGTTCTTATAATTCCCATGGATAGTAAATAATAAACAACATGCACAGTGCATGTGATCATGAGATGTCTTGAAAGTGGCATTCTAAACAAGCTTAAAATGGTGAGGATTAGTTACATGGGTCATTAAAAAGCCAAGATAACCACTTTCTGCCTTTCCTATAACTTGTAATTGGCCAGCTGCTCTCTTTCACAGAATCTGAATTTTTAAAATTGTGTTTACTCCCACTTGATTATTCAAGTGAGACATTTGCCTGGCCAGAGATATAGCGTATTTTTATATGCTGCTTTATTATATTTTTCCTTCTTCCATTATCTACTTTGCTTTTTGCTTATCATTTGGGTTTTTTTATGTCCTCTGCTCTGGGTTAATGAAGATACGCACAGGAAGGTAATGGTTGGTTGGTGAAAGACCCTGTGTCAGAGGCAGGGCAGGGAAAATCTCCCAGGATAGAAGGATGGGAAAAGAAAGCCCTCCCAGATGCGGGCTGGAGGGGTGCATCCCCTTTTGTGTGAGACAGGGGTTAAGATCCACCTTTGAAAGTGGGCTTTGTATTTCCTTCCCCTTCTTTCTCTTTGTTTCCTTTTCTTAAAAAAAAATATTTAGATTAATTTGTTCAGATTAGTTTTTCATTGTATTATATGATGAAAAGTTTCAATAAAACATTTATGCAAAAGATAAAACGCTGCTTCAGAGCTTGTGTCTACAGATTCTGCCAATACAGTACCAGTATACAATACAGTGAACCCGCAATTTATGTAAATTTAACTTGTGCACATTCAGCCTTATGTGCTTGGCAAAATTAAAAGTTAAAAAATTTAAAGAGAGGCAAAAAAGAGGCGGGCATCTGGGAAAAAAGACTTTCCCACCTGCCTTTGAACCCATGATGTGTTTTGACTATAAATCGAGGGCTTACTGTAATATGCTCTGCAGAGCGACTGCCAATCAGAATACACTAGAGAGATAAGTAGTGTTACCTGGTGTAAGGCAGTTTCTTAATCACCTGTAGGATTGAAAGAAAATGCCCTAGTTAATTAAGGACGAGTTCACAAGCCCTTCTGTCTCGTGGCTTTGTTACCAGCAGGAACAGATCCATTCCAAGTTGGGCCAGAGGCAAACAGCGTTTAATTCCTCTAAAGCTGAAATCTAGACAACAATGTCAGCCAGTGTACTGGTCAATTAAGTTGACATGCCTTTGTGTCCCAGGTTTTTTCCTGCTTATGTGGCAAGTCCTCTTAGCTGACATACCTATTTTTGCTGTGGTTTTGTTTCCCACCTTCACTGTAAATGAAAAGCAAAAAAAAAGGGGGGGGGAGGGAGGAGGGAGAACATGCAGCAGTGAGTACAGTCCGAAGAAGGGGTGGGGTCTGGAGGAGAAACCAATGCTACAATTTTACGCTGGAAAGCAAACAAGCTACAATTCCTGTTTACAAGGCATCAGAGTACTTTTAGAGACACACATTTAATGTGTTACTACAGGCCATTTGAGGAAACTGCATATTCAACACGTCCAATTGCCTAATAAATATCACAACTCATTAAATTTACCAAAAGCGGTGCAGCAAAAGAAACAAGTCACCTACACCCAGCTTGATTGAGCTGACCGTGTGACTGAACTGAGCTAGGAAACTGGAAGCATAGCAGCCAGAATTTGCAACTTCTGCCAGCAGTGAGAGGTAGATAAGTTTACCTGTCAGTGCCTCTGGTTTTGTCTCCTGCCTTCATGCACCTTTCTGTATATTGTTGCCTAAAAACCTTCAAAGGAAGGTCTTCCCCGAACCTGCCTATAGTTGTGGAAATCTCTTTTTGTGGAGCCAAGCAGAAGTCATTTTCTGCCCGCACATATTAAACTCATATCTGAACTCTGGCACAGGGAGAGAGAAAATGCCTTCCAAGGTTTCTAGCTGTGATCCTTTATGGCTTGTCTCGTGATTCTGAGCAAACAGCTTCATTTCGACACCTGAAGTGGTATAGTTCCTGTGGCTGAGTGCCGAACAAGGCTCATCATCATAAGGTATTCAGTACTTCTACTTGTTGTTTAGTCGTGTCCGACTCTTCGTGACCCCATGGACCACAGCACGCCAGGCACTCCTGTCTTCTACTGCCTCCCGCAGTTTGGTCAAACTCATGCTGGTAGCTTCGAGAACACTGTCCAACCATCTCGTCCTCTGTCGTCCCCTTCTCCTTGTGCCCTCAATCTTTCCCAACATCAGGGTCTTTTCCAGTGTGCTGGGCCCGGGGGTAACCCGAGCAACGTGGTCCAGGTCCGGTCCCGAATCCAAGGGTTCCACGAGGAGTCAGTCCGACAGGGCCAAGGCAGAAAACCAGACAAGGTCAGGCACAGGATCACAGGCAGGTTCTGGCAAACAGCAACGTTGCTCCCGCAAGCTGGGGCGAGGTCCAGCAGCCTTTTATCTCTGTCGGGGTAACGGCCGGTCCTGCTCCCCCGGTGACTCACCTCCCTGTCTCGCCCGAAGGCGAGCACTCCTCCTGTGAGTACCCAGGTCTCTCCTTCTCTCAGACCTCAGTCTCTGCAGCTCAGGAGATGTTGGTGGGTTACTAGACCCAGAGGCCGCCTCAGCCTCTCCTAACCCAACTGGTACTGGAGCAGCTGTACATGATTGCCCAACTGAGGGCAACGAGGTAATCCCCACATCTGGAGCTAGGGCAGGCTCAGGCCCCTGACTTGGCCCAGCTGGTGCTTGTTGCAGGGGAACCTGTGAAGACTGGGGCTCTTCAGAATCAGGCCCCAGATTGGGTTCGGCTGCTGCCTGAAGCAAAGGATCCGGTGCGGACTGAGACTCCTCTGGCTCCAAGTCTGAGCCCGAGTCCCAGGCCATCACATCCAGGGAGTCTTCTCTTCTCATGAGGTGGCCATTGGAGCCTCAGCTTCAGGATCTGTCCTTCCAGTGAGCACTCAGGGCTGATTTCCTTCAGAATGGATAGGTTTGAACTTCTTGCAGTCCATGGGACTCTCAAGAGTCTCCTCCAGCACCATAATTCAAAAGCATCAATTCTTTGGCAATCAGCCTTCTTTATGGTCCAGCTCTCACTTCCATACATCACTACTGGGAAAACCATAGCTTTAACTATACGGACCTTTGTCGGCAAGGTGATGTCTCTGCTTTTTAAGTTGCTGTCAGTACTACATCGCTATAATAAGGCTAGCTGAAAAGGTCCGTTCTAAAACCTTTTATTTGCAAGTGCTGGAGCACACATGAGCAGCCTCGCTTCCCTGCAGGCAGGAGCTGAATGCACGCAATGGGCTGCATAGGCAGAAATTGCTTCCTCACTGAAGTAACAGCGTAGTATCTGCAGGGGCTCAACTCTGTGCACCAGACCGCACATAGCTCTGGATTATCTGCTAAGGTTAAAAATTGGGCATGTAATCCTGCACACAAACACTGCAAATATAGTACAAGCATTTGTTTGTTTTTAAAACCTCCCCCCCCCAAATGAAGTTAACCATGGTTTTATTTCCACTAAATTAGTGGAAATAATATCAGAGTCAGTGGAACAAACTATTTTGTTATTTGATCAGGGTGTATAGTAAGGTATACAAACCATCACATGGACCTAAGGGTAGGCAGCGTAAAGCTTTCCCGCCAGTTCATGAAGCCCATGGGGGAAGCGGACCACACTTATTTCGAGGAAATGTCAGGGGCATTTTGTTGGAGGGCTTGGGGCAAGGGGAATTGCCACAATTGTATTGCACACACACACAAAAACCCGAAATGAAAGGATGGAGTTCTACAGTACATTTAAATGGATTTTTTAAAAAATAAACACACATACAGTGGTACCTCGGGTTACATATGCTGCAGGTTACAGACTCTGCTAACCCAGAAATAATACATTGGGTTAAGAAATTTGCTTCAGGATGAGAACAGAAATCGCACGGCAGTGGCGCAGCAGCAGCGGGAGGCCCCATTAGCTAAAGTGGTGCTTCAGGTTAAGAACAGTTTCAGGTTAAGAACGGACCTCCGGAATGAATTAAGTTCTTAACCCGAGGTACCACTGTACATTTCTCTGGACTCAAACTGGAATCCAGTCTGACATTTCACTCTTCTTGCCTCCAAATATTTTATATGTGTGCTATTTCTCACATTCTTGGAATTATTTCCCTGTGAATGAGAGATAGGATTGAATAGATTGCACGGCCCCCATATTACCGATTTTGAATATTTCAAAGTAATTCAAACACATTGTGGCAGCAGTTTATCACTTGCGAGTGGAAATAATATGGTGCTAGATCTATTTGGGAAACTCTCTGAATGATTAACCACTACTTTTTCATGCTCATACTCTCCCGCATGCAACCTATAGTTTGTCCTTCTCAGTCAACAAGAGCCCACTGGTCTGTTTATTCACAATCCTTGACAGAAAATTTACAACATGCATGTACAATTATTGCATTATTTTCTACTACAGCTGTTCCACTCATGCTCATTTGGTCAATAACTAGCAAGATATGCGTAAATTCCAGTGTGTGTGTGTGTGTGTGTGTGTGTGTGTTTAAAAAGCTTCCTTCAAGTACTCTCCTATTACAATGGATGCACTGCTGAAAACTATTTTTGTCTGTCATGAGAGTTGGATAATAGAAGCAGAAACATTAGTTTTGCAAATGGTTAGCTGTTCAGAGAATGCAGAGCATGTGTGGAGCATCCTTATCTAATGAACAGTAAAGGTAAAGGGACCCCTGACCATTAGGTCCAGTCATGACCGACTCTTGGGTTGCGGCGCTCATCTCGCTTTATTGGCCAAGGGAGCCGGTGTACAGCTTCCGGGTCATGTGGCCAGCATGACTAATCCGCTTCTGGTGAAACCAGAGCAGCGCACGGAAACACCGTTTACCTTCCTGCCAGAGCGGTACCTATTTATCTACTTGCACTTTTTGGTGTGCTTTCGAACTGCTAGGTTGGCAGGAGCTGGGACCGAACAACGGGAGCTCACACCGTCGCGGGGATTCAAACCGCTGACCTTCTGATCGGCAAGTCCTAGGCTCTGTGGTTTAACCCACAGCGCCACCCGCGTCCCTGAACAGTACAGAGCACTATTTGAATTCTCCTGGAAATTGGCACTGTTACTATTTCTTATTTTTACCAACTGCTCAGATGTTACATGTCAGAATTTATGGAATTCACCAGTGTTACAAGCAGGCCCAAGAAACAGGCCAAAAGTTGCACTGAAACTATGCAGCTTCTGATTAGATTATTTTTTCCCCTGCTGCAAAGACTGACGCTTGTGTCTATTTGGCTGCATAATGCTAAACAACGGGTTGGAATAATGGCTGAATCAGTTCCCTACATGTAAAATGAGAATTACAGAAGTGAGGTTTAAAAATTCTTTTCTGGGTCATACCTGAAGACTAGTCTCAAATTAAAGATCCATCCATCCAATTCTCTTCCTTTAAACATTCCATTTGTGTGAATATGTCAGAAACAAATTACAGGTTCAAACAAGGTGTTATGGTTCAAAACCATTTTCATTGTTACATAAAACACACACAGTGCAGCAGTATGTCAAACACGATTAAAAATTCAGCCACTCATGCATAATTTTGCTTGAAATGGGATCAAAATCTGTGTGCTCAGAGATTCTTCCTTTCCCATGTCTCAGAAGAACACACCACTGACAAATTTATGCAATGTTAACTTCATTGAATCCTTCCGATTCACAAGATGTCTGCAAGCAGCACCTACAAGCTAATGTTCCATTACTCTACATATCTACATATATGATCTGGTGATATGCGATTTCTTTGGCTGAAGGAAACATTCCTGCATTGCAAGGGGTTGGACTAAATGACCCTTGTGGTCCCTTCTATGATTCTGTGTCTGTGGTTCTATCTCTGCAGACAACAGCAATAGAAGCAACTGGGAATGCTTTTCTACACAAATGCCTACAATAATGGAATCGTTACACAACATTTCACAAGCCTGTATGCTGATCTCAATGTGCTTCAAAATTGGGTGGGCGACATATGGTAGCAAGTCACTTTCATGCACCATGAACTCCAGAGAAAGCCAGCTTTGCATATATGTGACATGACCTCATGGTGGCTGAAAAATGCTTGAAGACGTAATGGTGATAAGTAACCATAACTACGTAAGGAAATAAAGTAAAAAAGAAAAAGAAAAAAGCAGTTCATCTTCCCATGGTATATCAAAACATATTAGAGGCCAATTCAGTCCTTTTCCCCTTCCCTCAACATCTGATGTTACCAATCACTAAGCAGAATTTTCCCGCGGTTTTCTGTTACTGGGAGGTATGGAAGCAATAGGGGTGTGTGTGGACAGAAATGGATGCAAGCAACATGGTTATCAATTGGATTGTCCCCTCAAACAAATCTGTCTCCTATTGTGCCACGTGCACAAATAGTGAATAAGTGCCTTGAGGCTTGCAGAAAGCTTGCGGAGTTATCATAGCAGAAAACCCTATGCAGATATCCAATATTTAAAGAGTGCTGGGTGCATCATGAATAAGCTGATCGGCTATACTGTTAAGACAGCCATGCCAATAACGCTCAATAAACACGATCTGCAAGTGAGCTGTGGCCCTCTAGTTGAAGGTACGTTCTCAGTGTAGTTCTCAGTGTAAAGACAACTTCTCCTGTGCTTAAAGCTGTGAGCTTACATAATTAAATTAACAAAAGACACGCATAAGCAGAGGACTGAACGGATGTTGCTGTGTTTTTTTTTTTAAGGTGCGATGACAGAAAATGGGAATTGAATGGCAGACAGCAGGGAGTAATGATAAATGAATAAGAACCAAGACAAAGCTATGTGGACATCGTGACTGATAGTATAACAGATTGCAATGGACCATGGAGTATTGGGATCCCTGTTGTGACCTGTATCTCTGACCTAAAAAGAGGAGAGTTGCTTTCTGAGAGAGGATGGGAAAGGACTACTATCTGGGAGCAGGTCTGTGATGGCTCGCGTCAAACAGAGTACAGTGGTGCCTCGCAAGACGAAATTAATTCATTCCGCGAGTTTTGTCGTCTTGCGATTTTTTTCGTTTTGCGAAGCACGGTGTCGGGAAAGTTTTGGAAAAGCTTCAAAAATCACCAAAGTCTTTAAAAACCTCAAAAAAGGCTACCACACCGCGTTCTATGAGTTGCTCCTCGAAGTCAAGTCGCAACTGTATTAACGGTGTTAAGAAAACGGAAACAAACTTGCAAGACGTTTCCGTCTTGCGAAGCAAGCCCATAGGGAAAATTGTCTTGCGAAGCAGCTCAAAAAACAAAAAACTCTTTCGTCTAGCGAGTTTTTTTGTCTTGCGAGGCATTCGTCTTGCGAGGTACCACTGTATCTGTGGTCTCGACTATTTGTGGTTGAATAATACCCTTGTGAAAGATGCCCATCCTCTTCCCAGGGACTGAATATATTTTAGATCTGCTTGCTAATGCCTATTGGTTCTCTACCTTGGATCTGGCAAGCAGCTACTGGCAAGAGGAGGTATCTCCTGAAGACCAACCCACAACAGTAATGATCTGGGACATTTCAAAAGTTGATAGAAGTGGTGCTGGCAGATCTAAAGGGTCCCCTCTTGCCTGGTGGACTTGATGATATGATTGTAAATGGAAGGTAATTTGAAGAACAACTGCAGAAAAGGAAGGCTGTACTAGAGAGGCAAACCAGCAAAATGCAATTTGTGCTATGGCAAGGTAAAGCACCTAAGCCATACAGGATACTGTATGTATCCTGACAAAGTATGGTCCATTCAACACGGCACTCAAGGGCTGGGGTCTGGAAGTTTGCTAGTTTAGATTGTGTAAAAACGTGAGCAGTAACTGGAAAAATTGTGGCAGCCACAGGAAGAAAGGAACTGGGGATTTTTAGTGGTTGGGTGGCAATGGCTACATAGCTCTTTGCCCTTAGTCTAAGAAGCAGAAGCAGAAATATTCAAGTTAAGCATATATAGCATACTCACTTAGCCTGCATAATTTATTCAGGCCTCAGAATGCAGCTTATTTTAACACAGTATTCAAACATTTCTTGGTTGTTGTTGTTTTAAACCACAGAGAACGCACGTCCCTGTCTTACATCAAACCATGTAAGTACACACTGAGGGCTCCTAAAATAAGGGAAAAACAGCTTTCTTTTCTTCTTCTGAATTAAATTTTAATTACATTTATAAAAATCACATAGCAAAAAAACAAAAACAAAAACCCAAGAAATTCCTCCAAATACAGAACCTTATAGGTAGTATTTTGCTTCAAGTTCTGTTCAGATGTTTCTTTAAACTGCTCTGAACTGGAAAGCCAGCGATCAAGATACCCAATTTGTTTGTCTTCAGCTAGAAAGTTAATGGTGGAAGCGTGCTATTCCAGCAATGTGAAAAATCATACTTTTCATAACTGTGCACAGTACATTTGCAGATGCCTGCTATGCTTTGCCTTGCCTGCATACATATGAGATAAAAACATACCAGATTGCAATAAAAATATTCCTCAGTTTTTGTGTTCATTTCTCTGCCACTGACAGAAGGCTAGAGTTTTGTGCTGGTGTTAAACGTGGTAATCAGTCTAATAATGTTTTTAGATAATTAAACTGGGCTTGTTCTTAGGCTATTTGTAATATCCCAAAGATGCCTCTTTAATTGACTTCCAAATGACTGTGCAAAGGAAATTAATATTTTTATAATCTGCAGTCCACATATGCACAGTTTACATAACTTATCTTTAAAATGTCTATCATTCTGAACCCAGTGTTTTCTGTTTTTAAAAGAATTAATATTCCTTGGCAGGTCTGACATACTATCAAGCTTTTCAACAGGGTACTTACGTTCTTCTCTGGTTCTTCTTTCACTTCACTTAATTTTCCACAGGTAGCTTCTTCTTTTATTTTTTTTTACCTAAAAAAAGGGGAAAGGAACATTATTCTTTTTAGTGCACTGTTATAAGCACTTCTTTCTTTTTTCCAGCCCTTGCCAATTCCATTTTTCAGAACAGAAAACATTTTTCACATTAAAGATCCCAATGAATAACTATTTGTCAGGGTCAGAAGCTGTTTCAGACTCCAACAGTTCTGGTAAAAAGATCTTATGAGCAAGGCCTTGAACCAGTGCTGCCACTCAGGTCAGCTGCCTTGCATGGACCAGCAGCAGTGTAACTCATTTCATTGTTACTTGAGATTTTCTTTCTCAGCTTGCCCAGTTAAGAACTCAAACCTAAATGAAGCACTTCCTTTTGGAGAAAGGTTAAATAGTTGTCAAAATTTAAATCACATTTATATCACATGACCTTTTGCACAGATTTAAAGTAAAGGTAAAGGACCCCTGACAGTTAAGTCCAGTCGCAGACAACTCTGGGGTTGCGGCGCTCATCTTGCTTTACTAGCCGAGAGAGCCGACGTTTGTCCACAGACAGTTTTTCCGGGTCATGTGGCCAGCATGACTAAGCCGCTTCTCGCGAACCAGAGCAGAGGGAGCCGACGTTTGTCCGCAGACAGTTTTTCCAGGTCATGTGGCCAGCATGACTAAGCCGCTTCTCGCGAACCAGAGCAGAGCACAGAAACGCCATTTACCTTCCCGCCGGAGTGGTACCTATTTATCTACTTGCACTTTGACGTGCTTTTGAACTGCTAGGTTGGCAGGAGCTGGGACCGAGCAACAGGAGTTCACCCCGTTGCGGGGATTCGAACTGCTGACCTTCTGATCAGCAAGTCTTAGGCTCTGTGGTTAGACCACTGCACCACCCGCGTCCCTTTGCACAGATTTAGGTGCTCTCAAATCAAGCTGGAGAATACTTTTCAATATCCAAAGAAGGCAGACTCGGAAATGACCTACTAAAATGAAGGCCAAGCCCAGGTTTTATGCTAAAGTAACCTTCCATTGATTTCAGTGGGCCTCCTTCTCCTATCTGTGGTCTGTGTGTTTCCTAGTTTTAAACCTCTGCTACAAGATTCTTTTTTAATATGAGTCACAAGAGCTTTTTCAGTGTTTTATACCAAGCAACCAGGAAGATATTGGATGCTCATTTTTTGTGTGTGTTTTTGTTTTGTTTTGTTTTGTTTTGTTTTGCTGCCAGCTAATGAAGTGCTTGTACAGGAAACATTCACAGCAGGGCTTGTACAGAATTCCCTTTTGGCATTCCAAGTGTAGCAAGAATCTTGGGGCACAGAATAACTCAATGCAAGCTGGAAGGTTACCTTAGCATAAAACCTGGGCTTCCGTCAAGTGTGCTAACCTAACTCTGACATATGCATCTCCAAGACAGTTTATCACTCTCCTGTCATACTCTTTTCACTACAGATTCCTTGAGGGCAAAGAATTAAGAACACAGATGGCACAGCAATCACGACTA